AAAAAAAAAAGAACAACAGAGAGAGGGAAAATTAAAGAAAATGAGATGATACACTAGGATGATAAAACATCATAGGCCTTGGAGAAACCTCATGTTCTCTACAAACTTCATCAACCAAGAAGATTACAATAACTGAACAAACCTAGAGAATATATTTTCTGAAAAGTAATGTTGCAGTCTTAATTATTTAAAATCATAATAGCAAACGAGGCTGAACGCCATCTCGCTAAAGTGAGGTGGAAATAATAAGACCAACTCCAGCGTATCGCCAGATGTGGTGATTTGTACTAGAGTGGAGATTACTCCAACCCATCGCTAGGTTTGTGTGCTATATCAAATATATGAACAGTGTTTTGCGCTAACAACACCGTAGCATATCTCTATAATTTTATTTTTTTTTTTTGTAATTAAATGCAATTTGTGTAATTTAATACGATTTTAGGTAAATATTTGAATAATGTGTATTAGTAAATGCCTTTATTATGTTAAATAACTTTGTGCTTTTTATGTAGTGATGTATTATAATTTTATTTTGCAATTTTTTTATATTACAATATGAATAAAAATTTACCACAATAAAACAAGTAAATTTCATTAAAAATAAATTTACCACACACATAAATCATAAAATACATAAACAAACACAACATGATTTAAAATCGGATGACTTAAGAATCTACTGAACACATGAATAAAAAAATTATATAATTAAATAAACATATATATTAAAATTTATTTGAAATAAAAAATGAGAAGAAAATATATAAAACAATAATAAAGATGGTGATGTTACATAATTAAGTTCAAATTTATGGATCGCTGACAAGAATTGCGAAGCCGAATAAGTTGATAACTTTGTAAATATCTAGCTTCTATTTTCATCCATTACTTGACGGTCTTGACCATTCACATAATATATTCACATAATATGTCCTGCTCCAGCATTCCATTCCATCTCTTATAGGGGAAATTCTATTGTAGGTCTTGACTTTTTGCTATTGTGTCACAATAAGGCCTGGATTTTCAACTTTTACATTTGAGGGTTTCAATGTTAAGGGGGTGATTGTTTACAAAATAATTTACTCACTTTTATTTCAACTCAAAATCTAACTCAACTTTAACCCAACCCCACTATCTTTAATATTATTTATATAATTAAATAATACAAACCAATTATTCTTACACATCACATCAACTTTAATTCACTATTCATCCACTCACATAATTTTAACTAACTATCATTTCCAATCATTTCCAATCATTTATCTCTTATTTTTACATCAAATTAATTTTAATTATTTTATTTTAAATATTATTTTAATACATTCTTAAAATTCCACTACAACTAACCATACCACCTTTTTCAAAATTAACTATAGTTAACCAAAATAACTCAATTTGAACAAATTATTTCATAAACAATCAAGCCATAAGCTATTCGCAATAAAAGGCCTACTAAATTTCAATTTAAGACTCAAATCACTTTGTATTTTGATATAATTATGTAAACCACAATACTCTTTTTTTTTTAAACAAATAAAAATAATTTTAAATAATTAGAAATATTAGTAAAATTACTTTAATAAGAAAACTAATTCAAATAAGAAATATTTTTAGTGAAATTACTTTAATAACAAAATTAATTCATTTAAGCTAAATTTATTTTGCATAAATGTAACTAATATGGATTAATTTTCTTATGAAACTACTTTTATTATATGAAATAATTTTGTATATTCTTAAATTTTTCAAAAATATAAATTTTAGTCAAAAATAAGATTTTCTATAAGTTTAATTATAAAAAACAAAATTATTTTTTTATTTAATTTATATTTTATCACTTATTTTGATTAAAATTAAGTTAAAATTTATTTTTTAACTTTTAAAATAAATTCATTAAACTTTTGCATAGATGTAAATTATGAAATAAATATCTTATTACGTATTTTTACTAAGATATGAAAGAAAAAAAAAAGGAAAAAAATATTAGAGATATTTAATATTTTTCAGTACAAATATTTAAATAATAATTTTTTTTTTTAAAAAAAAAGAGTATTGTGGTTTACATAATTATATCAATATACAAAGTGATTTGGAGTCTTAAATTGAAAAGTAGAAGCTAAAAGCAGACCTTATATTGAGAATAACTTAAAATTGAAACCCTCAAATGAAAAGTTGAAAATTCAGGCCTTATTGTGACACAATAACAAAAAGTCAAGTCTTACAATGAAATTTCCCCTTATATTAATAACTTGAACAGTATTCAATAACATTCCACATACGAATGGCCTTTACCTCGAAGACTTATCAGACATGCAAAACAAGAAACCATATTTTTACTAATCCCATCACAGATTAACCATTTCTGAGAAACCTCAAATTCTTCCTTACTCAAAATTACAGAAGCAAAATCGTGGATGCTGCATATTTAGGTTAAAAGACAAAAGGTGAAGAGTTTGTATAACGGATCGGGGCAAACATTAGCAAGCAGATAAAATATTAGTTCATAAGTATTAGATCATTTCTTGTTATTAACCAAGCAATTAAGTTTCACCAGAAAGGGCAATAGATGCCAGTTGAGATAGATTTAAAAACATAAATGTATCCAGGATCAAAATAAGTACACAGGGAGTGATAAGAACTTCTTGCCCCAATACATAACTCAAAAGTACAGCATTGAAGTAAATATGAAGATACTGAAAATGAGCTAATCAACCATGATTACCTAGTTAAAGCATAATCCCTGAATCCACTAATTATGCAACGAGCTTCAAGAGTTCCTATGCAGCCACGTAAACGAGGTTCCCCACCATTGATCACTTTCTTCCAAGTCACAAACAATGGACTGAAACCAGAATGTAATTTCAATGAAGTAAAACTACTTTCATATTATCAATGAAGCTAAGAAAATAGAACACAACGAGCCATCACAATATTTATGTGCAGACCAACTACAGAAACAGTAGAATAGAAGGAAAAAGAAGAAAAGGAGAATAGCATATTGATGTGCGCTTGAAATTTGTAGAATAATATGTGTTTTAGAAAATGATACAAAATATTTAAATTTGAATGAGGATATGTGTTGTGATAGAGCACGATGGCGACAGAGCGCGATGGCAACATGTGATCCATGTAGCCAACCCCACTTAGTGGGATTTTAAAGGTAATTGATTGAATAAATAAACCAATGACACACAGTGACCAAAAGCCTTGCAACAAATCCGAGAGTAGCTTTGAAACAATATGACACTGCACCCGCAAAGCCTCCACATTAGTATTTTCCAAATGAAAACTTCAATTATTTAGCAAGACACCACCAAAGTATAAAAGCTAACAACCAAACTTTAGTAAATTCACAAATCCCATTACTCTAAAGAAGTAGAAGCAGCAGTTCCAGCAGAACACCAATCACATAAACTAGAAACGGGAACGGGAAGGATATACCATAAAATCAGGGGAAAATAGATAATGCATGCTAAAATGCAATTAACCCATACAACAATTTATACATTTTTTAAGCATAAATAGACAAAACCTCGCACATAATTTTTCTTTATTGTGACTAATATGTAATATACACAAACAAAAATATAACGCGACCAACAAAGAAGAGAGGAATAGCAAAACCATATAAATGAAAAAGGTTAAAATTTGAGAACAATGAAGCAGAATTGCTGCAGTCTATCAAACGTCGTACAACAAGACAACAATAAGGGATAGATTTCCGTACTGTTGGCCGTCATCGAAAGCTGGAGGAGGGACCTCCTCGTTGTTGTAATGTGCAACCAGTGTGTCGAAGCAGAAAACCACCATCTCCCTATTTGCCGACACCATTTTTTTCTTTTTCAAAAAAAAA